ACTTCTGACTGCTACTTTGATTTTGATTTTTTTAATGACAGTAGGACTCTAAAGTTTCAAGTGTTTAGGGGTAGGAGTTTATAAGTTCTCACTTCTTCCTACCCCATTTTGAGCATATGTTATTAACTGAAACAAAAAATCTGTATTTTCTCTTCTTTTTTATGCACTTCTTGTTACTGGGCACTATTTTATTTTTATATTTGTATTTGTATCATGTTCGAATAAAATTTCATTTCATTTCATTTCATTTCAATAATCGCTTTCATTCATCCCATGATATCATGACCTCTGGGTTTTGCCTTAGTGAGGCAAATAAGCGTGGTCTTTGTCTCGCCGTCACACTCCAGGCATCCCTTTACTTAATGTGCGTTTAAACAGCCTTACAGTCAGAAGAAAAAGAAATCCCAAACTACGATCCCAACCATTAATCCTACAGACCCGCCTGTTTGTGTAAAGTGTTTTGGCCGTCATTCTGCCCGTCGCTCACCGTGACACTGACAAGCTAACAACTGCTTTTAGACGAACCCGCAAAGTGCTGCTACCTCGGAGAGATTGCCTCAGTTGTTTTGTTCCTGGGTTCTCTTCGTTTGCCGACCACTTGAGTGTCTGCTGCCCTTTATTTATTTATTTTTTTTTATTTGCTGCTGAAAAACAGAAAACCTAGATATCTCCACGTTGTGACGTAAAGCGTAAAAATGAAGGGAAAAAGGGAGAAATGTCTCATGAGATGAATAAATATAATTTTTCGTTGTGTTTAATGAGTGATTGGACCTCGTAGTGTCCTGCTCAGCCTTTTGAACAGTTGGATGGTATTTTTTCCATTATCTCCAAATTGCCCATTTACGGAGATACGTGAATGCTATTGGCTTCTTCTTCTGCTTAAATTTGCAATGGTTAATCTGATCTGAGGAACAGACGGACAAATCGTGTTCTGTGCTCATATCTACAGGATTTTGTTTAGGGGTATCTGCGTTTAACCAGGGCTAAATGCAGATTCACACCACACTTTCTAGATTAGTTCTGGTAAAAAAAAAAATTAAAAATGCCTGAAATCCTTAAATGCCTTTTATTCCTGACCTTTTTCTTGGTATCTAGTATAAAATACTTTCATCGGTGGCTGTAACATGATCAAATATGAGGAATCTCCTACTGCAAGTACTTTTCTTAGCTGTGTACAATTTACTATGACTTCACCATCATTTCTAAGGCTCCAAAAATGTAGGGGGAAAAAAAATAAAAATCAGGAGACAGAAGACCAGATAAATATTTGCTGTAGTTTATTAGATGCTGTCTCTCATCCAGGCTCTGAAGCTGAAGACCATCGTGAGAGGAGATGCGCCAACGAGCCTCGTTACCACAGGCCTGTGCAGAAAAGAGGTGAAAGAGAAACACACACACACAACGCTGAGCAAACGTCCACGTGATTCTGTCATTTAAAACATCCGCAAAATAGTCGGCAACGCCAAAAAATATGATGCTGGAGGTTGTCTATTTGTCATGTTGAGCAAAAATGATCACCAATCTACGTGGAAAAGATTTAGCTGTTTTACGCAGTTTAGTTCTCTTGCTTTGGTATTTGGTGAAACTTATATTCTTCTATTTACTTGGGTCAAATATGTTGAGTACTCTGAGAGCTTCTCACAGCAGCTTGCTGTAATTTTGATCAGTTCCTCCTAACAGCTTTAGCATGAATGACTCGGGTTTGGAGGCATCGTCGTTCACTGACACCTCAGATTCTCCCTGGACTGCATCAAGGCTTTTTGATGTACACTCTAGAACCTTGATTTTGTTGTTAATCCATTTTGCATCTAATTCATCAATATGAATGAGGAAGGTAATTGTCCATATGGAAGACCATTTGTGCCCAAGCATAAACTTCTTTGGCTGATATGTTACTTTAATGTTTCTTCATAATGTTCTTTTTATATAATTCCATTTATTTATTCTTTTTTTTTTTAAGTGTAGCTACGTAACATGATGTCTTCAGGCTTTCAAGGCTCTTTTTCCTAACATTGTAATAACGGCGAGCACTTTATTTTTAGTTCCTTCAGACTTCACGACATTTCTTCAAAAGTAAAGATCTTTCCCCATGAGTATATTCGCGTATTGTAATCTGACTTAATTGGAGTAGTGGTTTGCTGAATGGCTCTCTAGCCCAGGTTGGTGCAGGATCTGTTTCACTGGAGAAAATGACCGTCTCTCACCAGCATCCTCACAAAAGCTTCCAAGCAGTCGACTGGATCCTTGAATGTGACTGACATAAACATGTCAATCACATGCTGACTCAGATGATGCTTACAAAGCCATGCAGTCAGTGTCTGGGTTTTTTCATTTGTTAAACGGATTTGCAATATTATGAAAATCATCTTTGGTGTTTGGGAAATAGAAATTATTTTGACAATCCCAACTGAACTAAAACAGCAAATGGTTTGGGTTTTTTTTTTCTGATTTATATCCTGTTTTTTTTTATTTTATTTTATCTTATTGTGCATTTCATTTTTCCCAACACTGCAGCCATGGGAATCTCAGTCCTTCTGCAGCACGTTCCCCTACGAGATCATCTGCGCCGACTCGTGGGGTCAGTCTCTGCTGGTGGCCACCGACACGGCGGGGGTCTTGATGCTGGATGGTGAGTAAATCCAGCTCAGTCTCTCTGAAATAATTGCACAATCACCAGCACGATATCAAGCTCCCGCTCCGATGATGACTGTAATGATGCTGTCTGTGCTTCAGGCCCCGACCCGCCGCTGCCCGGTGCTGGTGAGTGACATCCAGTCAATAACTCTGTTCCTTCCGCAGCTGCGGCGTATTTATCGCTCCTCGTTTGACGACGTGGATCGCTGCATTGTGTTTCAGAGACGCCGACGCTTCCCCCGGTGCAGGTGTTTGACAAAACCATGGCAGTGAAGCAGATGCACATTCTGGAGCCTCAGGACCTTCTGATAACCCGGGCAGACAAAGGTAGGCTGGAAAAGAAAAGACTGATGCTGTTTAGTACTTCCTCCTTGCACATCAGAGGTAGATTTCCTTTTATCAACTCTTTGTCATCCTGTTATTGAATCAGCTATCTGCAGCGTATGCTTGGACTCATTATCCTCTCTAAATGAATATCTATCATCTCTCTCTCTCTCTCTCTGTCTGGTTGAAAACATGCCAAACCTTTCTACTCGAGCTGGTCCAAAGTGGCATTGATCTCATGCTGAGATCTAAGGAATCTGACCCATAGAGAGCTTAAACTCTGTCGTGCTGAAGGGCTCAGGGAGGGTAGACTGCAGGAAAGGAAACTAAAAGATCAGATCCCTCAACGTTAAAAAGAAAACATGCATGCAGCTCATTGTAAAGGTATCCCAGCCTTTTGAACTTGTTCACATTTTGTCACATTTCCACCACCGCAACTTTCTTAACTGGGATATGATGAGACCTGCAACACACATTAGCAAATATTTAGCAATGGGATTGAAAGATATATATATATATTAATTATGTAAAAAAAAAAATTATTTGTATTCATCCCAGCTGAGTGAATTGTTTGTACAACTCTATTTTGCCAAAATTGCAGCTGCACGACTTACGCTCAGTCAGACCGGATGGAGTCTCTAAACAGCAATTTTCATGTTTTGTTTCTGATCATCAGTTGGATTCAGATCTTGCTTTTGATTGGAGCGACCCCAACACGTGAACATGCTTTGATCTAATCCGTTTTAGTGTAAATCTGACTGTGTGTCTGGAGTTACAGTTCTGCTGGAAGGCTTTAAGACTTTTTCAGCATCTAACATGTAACGCCTTATTGTTGAATGTGATGCACAATGAATAACAATTTAAAAAAAAAACCTTCGTGAAACAGAAGTGTCCCTCGTTTCGTTTCCAGGAAAGGACGCTCGGCTGTACGTGTTCAGACTCGGCGGCATCAAGAGAGGCCTGGAGGAGCGGCAGCTGGTCAGGAGCAAGTGTGACTGCAGGGAGAACAAACTGGAGAAAACTAAAGGTGAGCAGAGTGCAAAGCCGTCCCTACCACACTCAAGCAAAAGCTCCTCTCAGCTGCAAACACCTGGCGTTGGATCATGTCGACTTCTGGTCTTGTAGAACAAGAGATGGCCATGTGGCAGAATTAACCTTCCTGTTTATATCACTCGTTAAAGTGCAAAGAGGAGGAACGTTATCGGTGCCAAATACGATAACACAGCTGGGCTCTCTGTATTAAACCAATCAGTTATCCTCAGAGATCCATCAATTACATCTTTCCTGGTCAATGCCAATTTCTGGTTTTCTTTGAGCTTCTGATTTTTACTTGTGCTAAAGAAAATAATGCATGAAGGAGAAAAAAAATGTCAAGTTCTTTAGTTTTAGATCCAAAAGAAAATTAAGGAAAGGAATGCCTATAAGCATTTTGTTCCTAACCTTTATCTGATTTTTAAACTAAAGAAAAGTGTGACAAAGTGCACTCTGCTGGTTGATGCATCTTTACACTAAAAATATTGGAGCTATTGGCTTTGATACAGTTAATTAATAAGAAGAACTACTTAATTTTTCAGTTTATCGTTGATTTGAAGTAATCCAGAACAAAATGGAAAAATCATGTCAGAGACTGAAGCTCAATCTGAACATTCAACATTCAGTGCAAGCACAATTAAAAATAACAAATAAAATAAATTAAACTGCACTTAAACTAGTATTTTCCAAAGTTTTTATGATCGAAATCCCAGTCGTCATAAATTTCTGAAAATAAATTATATCGCTGAAAGCATCAGTGGTAAGGTGCTCCCACACGTCCTTCACATCAGCTCACACAGTTACCTTGAATAACTGTTTCGGTGATTGATGACCTATATTTTTTGGTGATTTACTGTCGAATACTGGACTAATCTCCTGGCTTTGGCACCGGCAGTTTTATGGACCCAGATGTTTCTTTCGTAAAAACACAGAAAAAGATTTTATTTTAGCCTAGTGCTTCACAGTAAACCCAACCGCATATATATCATCACAATATCAATGTTTGCAGGATTGTGATTTCAAAGTGTGATTTTTAGTGGCTGAGATACTGAACTCTTGGTGTTGACTGCAAATACCAGCCACAATATCGCCGTAAAGTAGTTTCCTGATATTATTCAGTCCTGTTTAAGGTAAAAAAATAAAAATAAAAAATACAATCTCATTGTAAAGTTTTAAAACCTACTATAGTAAAGCCTGTAAATTCAAACTGTCCTTCATGCAACACAGCTAATTTTACAGTTGGCGTTTTGCATTTATGCTGAAGTTAATTCATTCACCTTAAAAAAAAATGTTTTATCGACATTTAATAACCTGATATCTACTCTTCCTCAACTCCGCCCCTGGTCATGTGTGTGCAGAAACGCCGAGACATTTCTAATGTGCTTCTTGTCTCCTTTCCTCTTTGGGCCAGGTTGTCATTTGTACTCTATCAACACCCACCACGGCTCCGAGCTGAGAATAGTAGCAGCCATCAGAACCAAACTCCTCCTAATTACCAGGAAGCATCCGCGGTTCAGCGCCGTCGCCACGGGAGCAGACTCCCCGGTGGAGGAGTTTCAGTACATACGGGTATGACAGTCCCAACTCTTTACAGATGCATAGAGAGAACAAATAAAAAATAATAATAAATGAATATTATTTTTATATGAATGTTTATTTTTGCACAAACTGGAGTGAAAATATAGTGGGACATGCTGTGACTTCTTTGTGTCAACTTTTTTTTTTCTTCAAATATGTTGATGTTTAGGTCTAATTTCTCCAAAACAAATAAATGAAACAGTTGTCTAGTTGTTTTATACATCAGGAAAGGACACTTGCAATACTTAAATACCTAACATTGATACTTGATAACTATATTTTTCTTCTTTTGTGTAAATTTCCGTTCTGAAGTTCACAGCGTGAATGTCACTAATTTACAATGCTTCATTTCTGCCTTTTTCCAGTATATTATCATTACACAACATCCAGCTTCTACGAAGCTTAAAAACAAGAATTTCATTCAATTAAGTTCGAATTACATGCAGGTTTTTCTTTTTTGCTACAGGCGATCAAAATTACACACAGACACAAATGTGCACACATAACCATCCGGTGATATTTAGTTAAACTAGCCGACTTTAATTAAGCTTTACTACTTATGTTTGAATTAATTTTTAAAGATGCAACCCAGTTATGCTAAAATATTCATGTCACGACAGAAAAAAGTGTGAGGTTTTTCTGCAACCTGCTGTAAATATCTGAGTATGTATATTTTACTCTGTGGATTAGAGCAAAGCTGCATTCAATTTAAAATTTATTGAAGTATTAGGTTGTCTCTTTTTTTTCCCTTTAAAAGGTCAAAAGCATAATTTAAAAATCCCAAATCACTACAGCATTCAAACTAGTGATTAGTGTATTTAAGCTTCCCACTGTGTTTTATAACCAAGGTATCTAACTTTTAAAAAGAGAAAGGCTTTATATCACAAGTTCTGCTTGTTATAGTCTGTATATTGAACGACACGTTCCAGAAAAAAGAAGGCTTTTACACCTCCGAGGGTTTTTCCATGGAAATCTGAGAAAGCGATGGCGTTAACGAACCCCACCCACAGGAAATCTGTCTGTGTGACCCGCCTGTGGTGATGGCGCTGGTAGACGGCCCGACCGGGGAGAACGACAACATGATATGCGTGGCCTACAAACACCAGTTCGACCTGATCAATGAGAGCACCGGGGATGCCTATCGACTTCATCACGTCGACGCCAACAGGGTGAGGAACTTGTGCACATGCACAATGTCGCTTAAGTCTTGTTTTTTGAAAAAAGATCACCATTAAGAGGACATTTATAACGAGCCAATAAAGCAGCAGACCCAGATGTGACAGCAGAAATCGCCATGCGATGGGAACACGCTGCAGATCTTTTGAGTTAGCGTGACCTGACATTATTCTCCAAAAGACCTTCTGTCACATTTAGCCTTTTGTGCTTTTTCCCAGATGTTCAAGTGATTTCTGTAAAGTGACTTGCCTTTTGCCTGCAGGTAAACTTTGTAGCAGCCATTGATGTGTATGAAGACGGTGAAGCAGGCCTCCTCTTGTGTTACAACTGTGAGTCTCCCTTTGACTTTTCACATTTTAGATGCTCTGTGATTCAGGTCAAAGCTGGACCATGTTTTTTTTTTCTGTGTTTTTTTTTTTTTTCCCTCCTGCACCTAGAAAAGGGAACATCCACCTAGGCTCTAATCCTTGTTTTTCACGTTAAAACCACAAAATGAAATGTATTTCTTTTGCATCTTATCTTATCGGAAAAGCGTCCCCACAGCATGCTGCCGCCTCCACCGTGTTTCAAAGTGGATGTTGTAGTTGTACTCTGTTTACTTATCAGGTGACTTATGAGGACATTTTCTAATACTTGGTGTTATTTAGGGGGATCAAATCAAAAAGGGGATGAATACAAATGCAAGAGACATTTTATTTTTTTTATTTTTTTCTCTCTACTTAGCTACATTTTTTTTCAATAACTCAAATTGCTTTTCGTATCTACCTTGCAAAAAAGCAGCTTAAACCTTATTGACTAATATCACTCTTGCTTTCTGTAGTTCTGAATACAAAAGAGCTAGCAAAAAAAAAGGAAGTGAACCCCTTTTATTTTACGTAAATTTGCACTTGTATCTTCCTGCAGATATTTGTTACTATAAGAAAGTTTGCCCCTTTAACGGCTCCACACCAATGATCCAGTCCAACACCTCCGATTTCCACTTCAGCTGGAACCAGATGCCCAACGCTATCGGTAGGTAGCTCCCCACCCTGCCCATGGCGGTCGCCATGGAAACACCATGTGTGACCAGAAGCGTCCTGCTGACATATCAGATTATGTGCATGTTTTTGTTTGGAGATGCTATTGAGAGGCTGATGCTTCCTGAATCCACCACCCGTGACTGACTCTGTGTCGTAAACAAAAATTCTGCCAAGCTATTAATCAAAGCATATTAAAAAAAAAAGCAAACAAAATTAAAAATTAATCTTAAAAAAATAGATCTGATATGGTAATTTTTTATTTTTTTATTTTTTTTTTTTTTTATGTGTTCATCTTGTGTTTGCAGTTTGCGCTTTTCCCTACATCCTCGCCTTCACAACGGATTCCATTGAGATCCGACTGGTGGTCAATGGAAACCTTGTGTACACAGCAGTGGTCCCGGAGCTGCAGCTGGCTGCCTCGAGGGTCAGTATGATTAGATGCAATTACGCGACCAGGGCAGGGCTTTCTTAGAGCCAGCGCATGCTTGTTGCCCAGACCAAAAAAACGTCTTGCACATTTTAGACTGTGACGCAGTTGACTCCGTGTTTTTTTTTTCTACTAATCCAAACCGATATCTTTGCTCGTAGATATTTAAAAATCTTCAGCAAATGTATTTTTTTTTCTTTTGAAATTGCATGCACAGCAACGATTTCACTCAACCATAAAAGAAGATGTAAAAATGACCCTAGCTAGATGTAAACATGCAGAAATAGTTTACATCTAGTTTACAAAATAGTGTAACTAGGCTGCATTTGAACCGCAAAGCTAAATACTGCACGACGTGAAGCGATGTAGAAATACCCACCCAGAGCATTCAGGTCCATCTCAATCCATTTGAATATTATCAAAAGCAAATCTATGTCCATAACATGATTCAAAACATGTAATTAATTTACTAAAGTTTTTGATGACATACAGTTGGTGTAGACCTAAAATCAAGCCAGTAAAAGCAAAGTTTAATAAGGAGATCTTAGAACGTAGCCATGTCTGACCTGCACAGTGACGAGACTAATAATAGCTGCAGCAGACTTACACTCCCTCGTTAAGGAGGGTAAGCCACAAAATATTATTGTTAAAGAAGCTGGTTGTTCACGGACTGTTGTTAGTGGAAAGTTAATTGGAAGGAAAAAGGTGTGGCAGACAAATATGTACAAGCAGGTAGATACAAACACAGCCTTGTGGGGATTAGGAATCAAAGCCTTTCCAAGAGTTTGTGGGAGACTCACAGATCCAGGAGCAACCAAACCCAGGATTTCAGTCTTGTTTTAAACTAATCTAAGTATCTACATGTAATGCTTCCAAGTTCTCGGAAAAATAAATGTTGCTTTTTTGGATACATGTCATCAAAACGAGCAGAAAAAAAAAGTGCTGGAAATATATTCCTCTTTGTGAAGTGAATCAAGTGTCACTTTTTGAGTCAAAGTCCTGAAGTGAATCAACTTTTCTCAGGGTATTCTAATTTGTGAAGATGCACCAGTAGAATAATTTGTTTCTGTCTGCACACTCGATCATTTTAAAAACGAAGCGCTTCTAGTCCGTGAACTTCCCGCAAATCTAAATCCGTTCTAATTTAATCAAGCATTTGAATGTTTGCAGTCGCTTGGTGTCAGTCTTTCAGCTCTGTTACTTCAATCAAACCCAGATGAGCTTTGTCATAAATTTTTACAGAGAACCAATTTTTTAAAAAAAGAAAAATGAGCGCACCTGGCATCAAACACAAATCATCTCCGTCTCTTTTCTGTTTCCATTTGTTTTTTTTTCCTTTCCTCCCTTTGTTTCATCTCCTGCCTCTGTCATCTCTCTCTGCTGTACCTCGCTTCCACTTTACCCTGCGTGCTTCTGTGTTTTATTCCGCCCACAGTCGGACATCTATTTTGTCTCGTCGGCGCCAGTGAGCTCAGCCTCCAACTGCAGTTCCAGAGACACCAGCTCTCAGAGCTCCCCCCAGACGCCCACAGGCTACGAGATGCCCGTATTTCCTTCACCGCTCGGAGATGGTAAAGGCCCTGCACATAAAAAGCACCGGGGCGAGAAGGCGGGAGGGGAGGGAGAGGAGGGGGGGAGGGGTTGGGGGTTGTTGTCTGGAAGGTGTTCAGATCTCTGCAGAGCTATGTGACTGTGGATGCCCTCACAGGCTTCAGTTTGACATTTGGCATGAAGTGAACTCTGCAGGACGAGTCTGCGACTGCACAGTTTGATCGGGTTAGTTATGCACAATTCAGTTCCTATGCAGGTTTTCTCTTACTTCGACTGAGACCTTTTCTTCCGACTCTGTTTCAGGACAGACGACTTTCTTAACCTATCGCTCCATGTTCACTACGGGTGGAGGTGCTGGGGGAACGTGGAGGTGCTGGGGGAACGTGTTGCTACGGTTTCAAGTTTCTTTCTCCCGTTTGTCTCCTTTGCGCGAAGTGCGTCGCAAACCGAGCCAGTCGTGTCATTGCTGCTCGCGCTTAAAATCTGACAACGTTGCAGCTAAATCCCGTACGGATATGATGTTTCAAGTACAGATTAGGACAGAGGATAATCGAAATAACTAATAAATAACTATCACAACATTCATCTGAAATCAGGGTTAGATTAGAAAATAATCTGGACGGACGGATATATCAGACTATTTACCTGCATCCTTTCTATCAACAGCATTGATTTCAGGGATTGTTAGGATCATTTTAACCCACTTTTAACCCCTAATGGTGTCCATATTTCCTCATCCAGTCTCCCTTCCCTCTCAATGCTGTGTCAGCCGTCCTGAGCCGATGCGCTGATGGATTGAGGAGGAGGAGGAGGAGAAGATCCGCTCCTTGTTCATCGGATTTTACATCTGTTGATGTTGGTGACTTGGACTGGAGGACAAAGATAGAGAAACACGGTTATTAAATGAGTTGCCCGCGCCATTAAGCCTCGTCCGTACTGAGGGGAGCAGTTATTTACAGGTCCCATTAAGGCTAACAGGAAGAAAGGTTTGGCTGTTGCTGCTGCAATTAGCCGAGGGCAGGATTTATGCTCTTAGGCCGCTGCAGGTAATCAGTTCTCTCGGAGGGATTTTCATTTTCTGCCCTGTTGTTTCTAGTTGTGTGTGTCGTTCTGCACCACCCAGACAACTAAGACTGTGCGTGCGAGTGTGTGCGTGCGTGCGTGTGTGTGTGTGTGTGTGTGCGCGCGTGTGCGTGCGTGTCTGTGTGTGTTTCTGCACCTAAATCTGTGTTACTGTGTGTGTTCAGTTTGTGTAACCCTCTTCTTCATTCCTGGTTCAGATTCAATACGGATCCCCTATGGTACCAAGCTTTCCCTGTACATGTCTAAGGACGCTGAAGGTACTGCAGGATTCTCATCCTCAGCTCATAAAATACCCCTCCACCCCCTCATAAAGCTGCCCCACTAACACACACACTCACACACACACTTTCCCAGAGTGTATCACCCTGTCTGCTCCAAGGCGGCATGTTGACTTGGACGTTGGTTGAATGTTAAGTGAACGTTATGTCTTCCCCCGTCCTCCCTCCCTCCCTTTCGGTCTCAACTAATTAAAGCATTAGCTTGAGAAGGGAGCGAGAGGGCAAAAGAAGGGATAGAGCGCAGAGAGAGGAGTGAAGCGGAGGTGATAACGTCAGTCGAGAAGGAGGGCTTTATAATTGCGGAGAGAGAAAAGAGGCGGAGACGCAGGAAAGGTATGCCAGGAGGAGGAGAGGGAGGGCGAACGAGGCAGAGAGGGAAGGAGAAGACACGTTTGTCGCAGCATGATTTACAGATTGCACTGTCGCCATGGAGACTTTTGTCAGCCCGCTCTTCGATCTAAAGTGGGAGTCCAAACAGTGGTGCCACAGTCTGATGATGGGGGATGAAGATGGGGTGAGAAGAAAAAAAAAACAGAAAAAGAAAGAAGGGGGGCTTGCTGACAAAAATCTCAGGCTCTAACCGCCTGCGCGCTCGCCGCGTCTGCTCCGTGGGGACGTTTTCATTTGATGTAATTGCATCAGTAATGAGAGCGAGGTGCTGCGACAGAGGCGGTCGCTGGCCGCCCTCGACCTCCACTGGCTCGAACGCACACATATACACACACACACACCGAGGACCTGCAGCCGAGCAGCTCGGGACAATTGGACTCTCAATTAGCACCCAGAACATCCCCGGCATTCAAGTGCCAATCATTTGCCAGTGTGATGGAGAGCAGCGCTCCCCCTGGTTCAGAAACCAATGCATGTGGAATATATTGATCTCTCTGATTATGTATTCCAAGTAACTGTGTGCTTTCTCTTTTTTTTTTTTTCCTTCCTGTGTGACAGCACTGCGATCTGTAATAGCACTAACACAATGCACCTGTCGAAAATGAGTAGTGATCTTCCCTTTACTCCACTCGCAGACTTACATTTCAGATGAAAGCCATCACTTCTATTCATTCACACGGAGCTGCCCCATAAGAGCAGCGAGAGGCTGCTGAACTCCAACACTGCCCCCTGCTGGCACAGTGGAGCTTTGCACGCTGCAGCGCCACTGCAAATTGAAAAAAAAAAAAAAAGGAAAAACAACATAATTTAATAATTGCCAAACGGACTTTAGGTTTTGAACGTTGTGCTGAATATTAGATTGTGTGCCATAAATAGATTCTGTTATATTACATTAGGAAGATTAATTTCCCGACTGCATGCTGTTTGAGTAAACAGGCCTATTAATCATCTCAGAGTTGCTTCATGTAGATTTATTAGATGACATCATCAAGTGTGTCTGAGGAAGAGAGCTTAGGTTTATAGAGGATGATAGTAAAGGTTAATTTGCATATTTTGGTCCTGATCAGAAGTCCACGTACACTCATGACTAGCAAAAAAGTATTTGTTCATTTTCAGCTTTTCCCGAAGCAAAGAGATACAACAAAATCACGCACACAGAGTCAAATATCTACATGAAGACAAATTATACTTGGTTAAAAGAATATGTTCAGGTTGCAGAGAAACAACAGGCTTTGTACAGCCTCTTGCTGGATATTTGACAGCTCCTCTTGGCAGAAATGTTGAAGAAGTTCTTTTAAGCGATTAATTTCCTGCCACAATCAGATTAGTTCACTAATTCATAACAGGATTGAGGTCAGAGACAATGTATAGGATGAACAATTTATTCTGAAACCAGTTTTGATCAGTGTCTGGGTTTGATTAATTATTCCAACCACTTTGCACAAAGCATCACAAAAATAACAAAGATTTAAAAGATCTTCACACCCATGATGAGTGTATGTAAACTTCTGGCTCAACCAGCAAAATCTATTGAGAGGTAAATAAAATATATCCATAGAAATATACCGATCGTCTTACTGTTGAAATCAAAACATAATGTTTTGATTTCTCTGACTCCTCACTTCTACAATCATCTTTGTTTCCATATATTTATGTATTTCTTGTTTTATTCGTCAGTATTGCTGTGGTTCTGATTGATCAGCGATCAGTTTTCCCTGTTTTTCTACTTGTGACAGCTTTAGGGTGTTAAAACTCTTATTCTGCATGCAGACAAAGAAATTGTAACAAAAAAAAAAAACTTAAAGTTAAGGCAACATTTTTCAAAGCTGTCTAAATGTATAAGGAGGGCTTTCAGTAGATGCTGCAAAGCCCAACAATGAAGTTCTTCATTTCAGGAGTTTTATGTGGGTTTTTTTTAATAAACTGTCCATTTTTCTCTTTGTGTGATTTCTCTGGCATTTCTGCCTCTGACCATTTTGTTTAAACTTTCTCTTTAATTGTGTCATTGCATACTCTTTAATTTCCTGTTTCTTCATCGTTTTACTTTTTCTTTTTTTTTTTTTACTCCCTCGTGGGATTTCTCCTACCAGGTGAAGCGACATGTAAGCAAATCTTCAAGATTCCTCTGTGCAACCTGGTGGGCCGCAGCATCGAAAGGCCCCTGAAGTCCCCTCTGGTCAACAAAGTGATGACCGCGCCCGCCCCCGCCATGATGGCGCCCACTCCACTTATCTCCGCCACACACTCGCTGTCCCTGTCCCGCATGGAGATCAAGGAGATAGCCAGCCGCACGCGGAAGGAGCTGCTGGGTATGCTGAACCAATGATTACAGAGATTCACACCCTTGAACTTTTTTACATTTTACCACAAACACCAAATTTAAAGAATTCGATTTGTTTTTTTTGTTTTTTTCTTCAAGTCATTCCAAGGATTCCTTTCTTTGAGCAGTGATTTTCTTTGTGTTGCTCTTCTATAAAGGCTAAATTTGTAGACTGTACGGCGAGTAGTGGTCCTTTCAACAGATTTTGACATTTGATTTATGGATCTCTGAGCTTTTAGCTGCTTCTCTGATTAGCGTCACGTCTTTCCTCCTTTGTGGACTGAACACAACTGCATGAAATGCTGGAGGTTTTATTTGGTTTTAATTGTACGCTGCAATTTTCAGATTTTTTTTTTAATTAACTTCACAATTATGAACTACTTTATGTTGATCTAGTCAGATAAAATTTCAGCAAAAAGTATCAGTCTGTGGTTGGAATGTGCTAGGAGGTATAACGCATGCAAATGATCTAAAACGTTTAAAACGTTGGTACTACATCATGCAAATGAATCACATTGTCTATTTTGTAAGTATTACGCGCATCAAACGGACTTGTACTGCGATCAACAATGCAGTATGACGCTTTTAAATTTTCCTGAATTTGAAAACCTGGAAAATATTAGTTTGAGACAATAAAACATTTTCTTAAGCATTTTTTTTTAAACATGCATTTTTTACATTTCAAGCTTACAAAATTAAGCAAGCGATTAATCATGATTCAGTTCCAGAGTGTGATTAATCTGATCGATTCACAGCACTAAACGTAGCACGGTGAGAAAAAGCTCAAGGTGTGTGAAAACCGATGCACTGAAACTTCCTGTTTCAGCCTACCAGAAAGTAACCAACTTTCTGTTACTTTACATCAATCAAGGCCTGACCGAGGAGCCGAGCGGGAAGTCGGACAGCGGATCAGTCAAACAGAGGAAGATGAGCAAAAAGAACACTGACGAGGATCCCAAAGCTCGAGCGCTGACGTCAACAAACAGTGACAGGTAAGGTTTGCAACACTGCAGAGAGAGACTTGTAATAGTTTCTTTTCTTTTTTTTTTTTTTTTCAGTAAAGTTTGACAGCTCTTTGCTCAGCAGGTTAGCCTCAGACTCGGTGGACGCGGAGCTGGACGTCCAGCTGCACTGCTCGTCCGCCCTTGAGGCCGATCCGGAGATGGTGGTGCTGCAGGAGGGCAGTCCGCCTCTTGCCAGCGCGTTTGCCCTCTCCACGTCCTTCGAAGACGATGTCCTGGACCTAAAGTGAAGACAATCCTGTTGTGCACTTCTCTCCTCGCATACCTTTGTGCTGTCACAGTCATTTTTTTTGTTTTGTTTTTGTTTTTGTTTTTGCCTTTTAAATTGGTTTCTTGAAATATATCCCAGCCTTCTAGTATCCTGGGTCTCTCCATCCATCCATCACGGTATTGGAGGGAGTAACGAAAACATGTCTCTGCTCATGTTCACCGTGCGTCACTGCATCGGGCCCTGCGGTGAAAAACCCAAAAAAAAAAAAAAAAAAAAAAGGCTGTGAGGTTCTGCAAGATGCCCGGATGTGTTTCAGCATCTACAGTAGCTTTTTAAGAGACGGGCAAACTGAACGTAGATCTGCAAACATCTGTGCATCTGAACGCGGTTCCTTCTATAGCCGCCAACTCCGTGTTGTACATTATTTCAGATCCGCTTGCAAATGTTGTATGATACCGCTCTGTATGTGTACATCTGTTTATACACCGAACTGCATACAGTGCCAGGCACACCTGTCTGATCTGTTTATACATATTTATAGATATATTATATATATAAAAAAAATCAATTTTGTTCCAGCCTTCAGTGATATTATGTTTTTTTTTTTGTTGTTGTTTTTTTTGCTCTCTGCACCGATCCTCACTCACTCAACACTAAACAGGTTCACAGGGCAGGAGGTAAAAAAAAAAATCTCCCTTAAGTGCCATTTCCCAGCATCCACCACTGATCCACTCACAACAACCATGGCATCGTGGCGTCCGACTGCGGCAGCCGTCGCTGCAGTCCGCATCACACGAGTTTCTTTGCTGCTGAAGAAACCCCCGACACTAAGGCCGGCGTGGCTGACGTCTGGCGCTGAAGAAGTACACAAATGAGACACATCTGCTGTGTGCTGCATGGTTGATTGAAATTTGAGTAAAGCTTTAGAAGGAAATGAAATAATTCAAGTAGGTTTAAATTATAAGGCAAGTCTTTTTTTTTTTTCTTTTTTTTTTGTTACCAATTTTAAATGAAAACCATATATATGTTTCTCTCTGTAACATTATCCAGAAGCTTTTCTGGACTTTTCAGAAAAGGGTCCAATCTGTATGCTTTGTCTACTTGTTTTCGTTTGCCCTTATAGAGATAATCCACCTAATACGAAACATTAAACAACCCTAAATGAGAGACGTTTGCGAAATACACTCATCCTCAGATTTGTCCCTTCTTTCCAACTCTCCACCTCTGCTTCTTGAATTCCCACCTCCCCGAGAGACGGATTCACAGGACCTTGCAAAAGTATTCCTGCCCACTAATTTTCTTAAAAGTTAGAATCACAAAATTCAATTTATTTTATTGGGATTTTCAAGTAGCAGACCAGTACAAAATAGCTTATTGTTAGGAAATGCAAAGAAAGTCATGCGCAGTGATTGAAATGGTGAGCAAATGTTCACGCTGGAACGTGTGTCTATCGGTTCGGTTCATTTATGTTACGCCGGATGACAACAGATGTCTCAAAGCACCTCGACCACACAGATCAAATTCAAATGCATTCAAAGTCTGTCCTAGTAATAAAAATTACAGCAAAGTTCAGTTTAATATCCCATTTAGTAAAATAAGTTTTCTAATGTAACTCAGCTGACTGCATCGAGTCACTGACTCTGCAGTAATTTCCTCTCCAGAACAAGCATCTGCTTCGAGTCGCTACCAGATGACCCCTAAGACTCATATTCTTCTCTAGTGATTTAGGGAAATAGTTTAAACTCAGTCAGAAGTTCTCGTCACTGATTTTCAGTTGCATTTAGGTTTTAACTTTGACTAGGCCATTCTGACAAACGAACATATCTTGATCTAAACTGCTGAAGCTTGCTCTAGCTGTATATTTAAGGTTATTTTCCTGCTACACGGTGACGCTCCACTCCAGTCTCTCTGCATTTAGCTTCATTTATCTTCCCATCAACTCAGCTTTCCTGCTCCTGCTAAAGAAAGGCATTTCAACAGTATGATGCTGCCACCACCATATTTTAATATGGTAACGTTGTCTTCAGGGAAATGCACAGAGATAAGTTTTCCACCTCACCATAGCCATTTCCATGACCAGAGCACATTGTCTATCATTTGCTTTTCACAACTAAATGCTGCCTTGTGATGGTCTATCAGTAAAACTCGTTCAAAAATGTTTAGAAGTCTGTGGTTGTAATGTGGCAACTTTAGACGGTATAAGATTTAAGCTGCATTCATTTCACATTACATTCAACCCAACCGGCTCTTTTGACGCGGGCCACTTTCCAAGCTACACCTCGGCCGCCCTTTGTATCTAAATGACCATTTACAGCGACATAAGTGCCTGAGAACATCTGCGAAAAGGCCTCACAGTAGCCAAAGACGGACACGCTTGATCAGACTCGCATTTAATCCATCTGGTGATGCACACTGAAGAAAGACTCTTAGATCATTAGTATGGGAACCTTACAGTCCAATACGAAAGGAACTGAGGCAAAACTCAAGATCGGACAGATTGTGTGTGTTAACACACAACTTTACGTCTGCGGCATTGTTGCACAGCTATTGTTAAAAATACAATTAATCTGCTAATTTGTCTTACCCTATCCGCAAACCTTAGTGCTGCAATATGCAAACACCTCATTGTGTCAAGCACCAACAGGTAGCTCAAATAAACTTTCTCCAATTTCCTTTTCGACCTCACGTTTTTTTTTTCCTTCTTTTTTTTAAAACAAAATAGTAAACAAACTATAATTCGTGAGGTTTTATTGAAAGACAAGATCTTCTTAGCTTCTGCCTATATTTCACCTGTTTTGAAACTGGCATGACCAGGTGGAAACCATCTTTTTCCGTTTACCTCTGCAGTGGGGTAAAGCGTTTTGCCGCGATGGGAGACGAGGCTGTATGCAAACCAGTCGACGTTATAAAATCGGTTTGTGTCTGACTCCTTAAAACATACGCGGCTTGGAAGACGTGAGGAGCAGCAAAGTAGGACCAAAGTAGAAAGCGCAGAAGAGATTCACACTAGGAGTTGTAAGGCGGGTAAGAGAGTGCGTCTACAGATATTATTATATATTTCACAAGAAAACAGCTGTGAGATGTTGCATGAACCCTTATCCTCACTCTATTTCCCCTCAAGCTTTTCCTCTGTTTCTCTGCCTGCCACAGCATGGATTCCTCCAAAATGGTTACCAAACTTAAAAGGAGGAGAGGGGGGGGGGGAAACTACTACTTCAATTTTTTTTTAAATCTCTGAATTAAAGGTGATTAAGGGAAACACTGCTTCACTAACTCATGTGTGTCCTGTTTTATCTGCTCAAGTTACACTTCCCCTCTGCTTTTTCACTGCTTTTTTTATTTTTCTTTTTGTAACAAAATCTATATTTCCTGTTTAGATTGTCGCTGAACTTCTCTGTGATATCAAAACGAAAGAAAATGTACACAAAAAAAAATTACACCAAGTGTCTTAAAATATTGTATCGCCATCGTTTTTAATGCCAAGTAATACTTGTAAATGTTTGTGCATCAAATGTGGCCTCAAATGAAACTGAACTATATTATTATTATTATTATTATTATTATTATTATTATTATTATTTAAACAGTTATTTTTAACAAGTGTTGTAGACCACTGCTGTGAAAGTAGTTGATTCTGTTCATTAATATGTAATAAATATTTATGGAATTTCAATCGCGTGACTCACTGGATTTGGTTTTGAGATCAACTTTTATTGATCTCTGTGTACAGATGTGTACACAGACTTTTTCTGATTTAGGTCGGTAAAGATTATCAAAATTATTTTTCTTCCCCAAGTGCAAAACTAATGAGGGAAATATAGATTTTTTTTTAAATTACAGAAGCACAATTTCTCACAAAATCTTAAGAAAAATCCACCCTTTAATATGAGAAAATGTATTTTGTGAGAGGGAAAAATCTAATTTTAAGTGGTTTTCTTTTTTTCTTTTTTGCAGAATAAGACGCTGCTACATTTAAAGGTAAACCTATTATTATCTAAAAGAGAAGTATAACTGAAATTCAATAGTTTTCATTCATTAATAGAGTTTTGATGTTGATCAAAATGTCCAAATTCTAACTTTTAATTAGTAATCAAAAGCTTCCTTATTATCTACAAACATAAATGTAGGGGGGGAAAAAATAACAATATTCAAAAATCACAAGAGAAGTGCAGCAAAATGCTCGTCATCAAGTCTTTAACAACTTTTTCTTTCGTACACATCTTTGCGCATCAGGCCTGCCGATAAGAAGTGAAGAGCCGTATTTATTTCTCCATCGGACAAATCTGTAGCTTCACAACATGACCACAAGGTGGTGCTAAATATTCACGAAAGTCCACGTCAACAAAGCAATCAAACAAATATTTCTACCCGCTTTGTTGCCTGTCGTGTTTCCTTACTGAAATTACCCTCTTTTTTTCTCTCTCTCTCCCAACAACAGGATATCTAGTCAATAACAACCTCCGTTTTTGTTTGAGCAAGAGCTACCAATGAACACAGAGGCGCTGTCGACCTGTTCTACGCAAAAAGAATAAACACAAAAAGGGGTAAATGAATGTCCTGTATTGTGTGCATTAGTTGAATTTACCCGTATACAGAAAAGAAGAGGTTGGAAGGGTAAAGACACACCCTTGCTCTTTGCAGGTGAGCTTTATGTGTCCTCCAGATTATATGTACTATGAGAGCTCTGTCATTCAGAGCAGGAATTTTCCAGTCCTCCCACAGACTAGGTCGGTTGTATCGTATCTTTTGATTGGTTAAAAAAAATTTTTTTAAAAAGTAAAGGGAAAAAAATCAGTGACCACAAAGGATTTTAGCTTTATGTTAACATTCAGTAATCTCAACCACTTGGAAAATAACCAGAAGTAGGATTACTGGAATATGATGTACAGAAGTGGGAGAACTGTGGCTTCAGGTTATACAGCACTGAGACAAAGTCTGTCGACAAAGGGGGCAAGAAAAAAAAAAACTTCCCAAACTCCACACACCCCCATATTTTTTCAGAGTCAAGATGGATGACTTAGCATTTATGCGTAAAGACATCTGTGATGCTTCCCCACTTCTTTCCCAACCCCCTCTTGTAATGAAAGTGAGCACAGCCGGGTCCAGAGTCTTACGTAACAGGCGCAGGAATGCTGGAGGTTTGCCTCGGACTTCTGGATCATCTCACTCGCACATAAAAAAATAAAAATAAAATGGGGCCCCATCCCGTTCCAAACCAGTCTCTGCAGGGCCAGGCTAAAACAACAACCAACTTGATCATTGAAATTACAACACAATGGCGGTTGTCCCTCCCAGGGCATGAACTGTTTTATTACCTAAAAAAAAAAAAAAAAATATCCACTGATGAGCCTGCATAGCTAAAGAAAGAGTAATAAATTAGTTACAAAACCTTAAGGATAACCTCAGGATACATTTTCACAGATTTTTTTTCTTTTTTCTATGTTCTTACAGGCTGTTGAGACACGTTCATGTTTCAGTTCTTTTAAGGGAAATAGGTTTGACTTGATATTTCGACACCCCGCCAATCAGGTTACGTTTCATACGATATTGAAACAAAGCTTAACGTGACAGTCGGAACACCTACACAGGAAACAGTCTAAGCCACTATAAGTGTACAAAACCACACCAATGGTGGTCTGTGTTTAGTGTAAACACGGGAGAGGTTAGGGATCCACATACACCTGGAAAAAAAATATCCCAAAGTGGCTTTGAGTCATTAGATTTCAAGAAATTTCTGTTAAAACCAAAAAAAAAAAAAATCTGCATCAAACTTCATTTGCATTTTAGATACATCAGTAGAGTCTATGGCGTCAAACATTGTACTTCAAAATCTGTTGAGACATTGTCACGTTTTTTAAAGCATGACAATACAAATACTGACAGGATCTTACGTTAAAATAAAAAAAAAAAATTTAAAACGCTCAGGCGTAATCCAACAGCTTATATTGCACTCCCACTGTCTTTCTACAGGAACCCGTAGTTAACCCTCTCTGATACAGGTCATGAATGGGCGTCCAAAGTTAGTCTTTTGACGTTGGGAGTCTTCACTCCCAACGTCTTTGAAAACTAGGCGAAGGATGCCACTGACATCAGGATCTGCACAGCCATGGAAACACAGGGCACCTGTGCGGCGGTGTAGGCCAGAGAACGGGTGGGTGCTTGCAGGGCCAACAGGTAGGCAAGGCTGTGCAGCACGCGGGCGAGAAAAAACACGAGGAAGTGAAGGCGAGCCACAGTTAGCGAAGGTCCGGTCAGGGAGTAGACGGCCCCCAGGAAGAGGAAAGGGAGGATGTTCTCCAAGTCGTTCAGGTGAGCCCTGAAGGGGGAGATGAAAAGATTCAGAATGAAAACTGCTGTCACTTTCCTGTTAGTCCTCTTCCTTCCTGTTGGGAACTTCTTAGAGAGCAGCCACTTACATTAGCAAGCAACAATCAATATTTTCTACTTTTTATATTCTCAGTCTATTTGCATGTTAGAATTGAATTGGTTTGAGATGCCTTCCATTCCTTTACACACCCTCTTCCAGATAGAAAACCCCTAACGAACACCTAGGGTGTCACTGAAACCGAGACAAGCACAAAGGTTCCCAACAATGGATTCCTGGAAGAAACTGCAAACCAATCCTAGAGTAACTGGTTTTGAACACAAAAGACTTTAACTGATAAGCAAGCGTCTTTTTCTTCTTCTTCTTTTTTCTTTTGACTTGAGTCCATAGTAGCTGTACAGCTATAGTACAGCTATATACTGTAGCTGTACTATAGCTGTACTATAGCTGTACAGCTACAGTAGATTCTTTAGTCTAAAGATTCTTTAGACTTTTATGTGAGAGTTTGGCAAAAAAAAAAAAACACAGGAAAAGTATAAAAGTATGTTTACTTTTCATGTCACAACTTTTTAATCAATTAACCAAATGCCAGACCAAGTTGCACCCATTAATGAAGCAGTCTCTTTGGAGCCCTCAGCAAATCTGAACAAACTTAATTTGAACTTCGAATATGAACATATTCTCTGTGATGATGAGTAATTCAATATATATATATATATATATATATATATATATATATATATATATATATATATAT